GTCGACAAAAATTTGTATCCGCACACACACACATACATCCATTTTCTCTAAGGTATGCCAAAATGTTCAAAAACCGCTGAAACGTAAAGATATAAAAAAATTTACACTTTCGATGTTTTGCGATTACTATAACTTGCCCTACGGGAAGTTAAGAGAAATTGAAATCAATTTTTAGAAAATTTGTAGTTTTCTTTCTACTTTTATTATCTGGATGAATGTCTGTTTAAGAAGTATTTTGTTTAATAAACTTATATATAATTTATTTGCAAACACACAGAGATCGCATGATGATATTTACAATCTAATACTGTTTATATCTAACAAACCATATAAATCATAATATTTTAGTATGATTATATAGTAAAATCAATTACTAATTTATGATTCAGCATAATTGAATTTAAACTACGTCCATATGGCGGGAATTGAAGTATCGATATCCTTAACTGTAAATCGATAATGGTTCTGAAGTTGCCGTGCCAAACTGTCAAACTTTCACAATGATCAAATTGTCAAAACATGCTTTAAGAGCCGGTGCAAAAATTGCAAAAATGTCGGAACTTAATGAAACGAAGTCCCCTTTAACATATAAAGTTCTGCACAAATGTGAAGTCTCCAATGCTAGAGTAGGATTAATGAGTTTATTGCATCATGATGTTGATACACCAGTATTTATGCCGGTTGGAACTCAGGTTAACCTATTAATAAAACGTGTTTGTTTATATACCTACATGAAAATTTAAAATAATTATTATATATAGGGAACTCTCAAAGGATTGTTGCCAGATCAACTTGTAAATTTAAATTGTCAAATATTACTGGGAAATACATATCATTTAGGAATGAGGCCTGTAAGTATTACATATATTATTCTTAAAATTAAAATCGTTATTTGCATTTGGAAAACAAGTATTAATATAAAAAATATGTAGATATTTAATATTCATGTAATACTAATGATTTTCAGATTCTATGTAATAAGTTAAATTAATTACCTGCTTGCAATGTGATCTTTTCATCGACTTATTTTGCCTCTGACTTTATTCGTTCATTTAAAAATGATAATATAAATGTTGTTGTAACTACTTCTATGCTTCAAGATAATATACGGCAGCTTTTTTTAATGTATTATTATAAATCATAAGCACTGTTCTAACAATGACTAACACCAAAAAACAAAAAGTGGAGCGATAAAGTACTGTATATTGCTTGTAAAAATTTTTGTTATAATATAAATTGAAACAAGTTGTGTATGGCATTGTGCTGGACACTTCTCTCAATTATTACTAAATTAATGTTTTTTAGATCATTCAAATTGGATGCTCCGTTCTCTTAAAATCTCGATTTCTATTTTCTGCATTTTTTGCTCTTTATCTCCATAACTGCTGAGCCTGCCTTTGCCAAAAACTAATCAGCACATCTCCCTATCAATAGGAATCGAATGTTTTTTGAACCATTCAAATCGGTTGATCCGTGCGCCCGAAAACGTGAACGAAAAAATGCAGACACACAAAACACACGCTAACAAATAAATCATAAATGATGTATAGGAGTTACTCGATTTGGCAACTGAAAAAAGTAATAAAATTAAATTCAGTATCCCAATTTATAAGTTTTTTTTTTATAGAAAAATAAAGTTTTTGTAAATTTGTATCACAGTTATTCGATTTCATAAAAAATTAATATTGACAATTTTGTTATGACATATTGAAGACAATATTATATGTCTTCCTCGTCATCTGTATGCGAGGATTTGTCATTTTGATTTGCTGTTAAGTTTTTTTAGTAATTATGTTGACAAAGAAAAATAAATTAAAAATAATTAAAATTCATTAAAAATAAATCTTATGGTCACATTTGAATTGTATTAGATGTAGTTTAGACCTTTTTAACTTCATTAAGTATTTTAAGCCAATTTGCTGGAAATTCTATCGTGGTAACTTTTCTGTTAATGATGGATAGTTCTTAAGGTTTTGTTGAAAAACAATCTTGGCATTGTATCTCAATACATCAAAACAATCTTTGATGAAAAAATATTTTGATTTTGGTGACATGTGACTCAATATTGTGAATGATGGCAAAATATGAATCATTGACAAATAACTGTGTCCACTTACCAAAATTTTCATTTAAATTAACTCGATTTTTATTTCTGTGCTTTTTTTAATATGTAATATTTTCAAAGTTTGTGGAGTAAGCATTGCGTTCTTTATCAAACAACATGAATTTTCATGGGAATCACGAGATCCTACAGTCTCTGGCCAAACAAACATTTGGTTCATATTATTACGAAATTTTTATCATCCGTGATTCATGGTAGCCGAAACATTTACATTACATAATGGAGTTAATCAACATAACTTCTGAAATAAATGACTTATTAACACAAAAAGTTTTGATTATATCAAGCACTAACATCTAAGTTTTTTTAAAGAGTGGAGTCAGTCAGTGTATGCATGGCTCATATATTGCTAATAATTATATGGATATAGTAAAACTTTAAGAATTATCATAATATGTTTACCCTCATATTATTTTAAGGGCCCCGAAACACTGAGTAAAGCTGGTGGTTTGCATAAATTTATGGGCTGGGATAGAGCAATTCTCACAGACTCTGGTGGCTTCCAAATGGTATCATTATTGCAATTAGCTGAGATTAATGAGAAGGGTGTGAAGTTTCAATCGCCATTTGACGGATCTGAATGTATGCTTACTCCAGAGCATTCCATTTTTATACAAAATGCTATAGGTAAATTTGTGAAAACTATCATTATATTTTTTTCCTGGAAGCTGAAGTTAACTAAAAATGCATTGCAGGTGCAGATATAATAATGCAGTTAGATGACGTTGTTAAGACAACTGTAACAGGTCCAAGAGTAGAAGAAGCCATGTATCGTACTACAAGATGGCTTGATCGTTGCATTCAGGCTCACGCTAGAAATGATGAGCAAAGTATTTTTCCAATTGTTCAAGGTGGATTAGATACAGGTAAATATATTTTGATGATAATTATTAAAAGAATATTATACTATAAGAATAAAAACTATACCAATGAGATATTTAAACATGTTACATACAAAATATACAAATAAAAGTCACTAGGTATTCCCAATTTAATAACTGTTTGAACTCGTACATATGACTTTTTGTTAGTGCGCTCTGCTTGGACTATTATTTGATTCACATATTTGTTTATTCAGAATTTGTATGGTGTCAAACTTTTTTTTAAATAAGCAGTGATAGATGAATAGAAAATTAGAAATAATTTAAAAATATATGGTAAAAATATTTTTTATAAAATAGCTTTTATAAGGTCTTGATTCAAATAAAGTACAACAATTTATTACAATTATAATAATGACTTGATAAAAAAAAATTTAAACACCACATGAAAAATAATGGATTCCAAAAATAATAAATATTGCCGGGACAAACAAAATTAAAATTAAAATTAAAATTTAGCATTATTCTTATCACTGCTATTATCAATAAATACACAATATATAAATCTGCATTTTAATTTATTTCAATTTAATTTCATTTTTGTAAAAACTTTTTTGGTATTAAAAATTTTTTTAGAAGTCTAAAATATGAGTTAAAATACACTGATCTTTACCCAGTCGCGTTCGTTATAAAACAGATTTTGAATAATATTGGAAAGCAAAAGCGGCATTATAAATTGTGAGGTTGAGTATTATTTTGAATTATTCTACTATTATTCTATTATATATTTTTAAGTACACACATTATTGTTCTCAAGAATGTTTGAGAAAATAGTTTATTCTTAGACCAATATAAAACGTACGGTTAGAAGTTTTACTATTTCCATCCATATTATTAGTCCAAAGAAACGTTTTATTTAATTTTTATTTGTTAGAGTCCTGTTCTTACATCTGCAAGAAATTTTGATAGCGCAGGATAAAGATTTGTTTGCTTCACCAATGAGTTCAAATACTTTATCAGTGACAAAGGGTGTATAAAAATGTTCTACTGTTTTAAATTTTGATATTCATCATATTTTGCGCTCGTAAAGGTCGAAGTCTTTGGTCGAAACTATTTATTGTGTAAGTACAGATATAAAATTTGTTTTTAGATCTCAGAGAAAAGAGCGCAACTCAACTAGTTGAACGAAATACAAGAGGAATTGCAATAGGAGGTTTGAGGTAATTTTAAACAAGAATCATAATTTTTATAATGATTGACCATGACAATGTTTTTAGTGGTGGAGAAAGTAAAAATGACTTTTGGAAAGTTGTATTGAAAAGCATTAATCACTTACCTGACGATAAACCTAGGTATCTAATGGGTGTTGGCTTTGCAGCCGATATAGTTGTTTGTGTTGCCTTAGGAGTTGACATGTTCGATTGTGTTTTTCCAACTCGAACAGCTGTATGTATATTTCTCTCAAGATATTTGTTTGATAATAAAAATTATAGCTAAACATATATATCTACAATCCTTTGCAGAGATTTGGATGCGCATTAATTCGCGCAGGTCAATTGAACTTGAAACAGAAAAAATTTTCCAAAGATTTTGAACCCATAGATAAGAGTTGTGTGTGTTCGACTTGTAAGAACTACACCCGAGCGTACCTTCATAATATTGTTACTGTGGAGACTGTTGCTTGCCATTTGTTAACAATTCACAATGTTGCTTTTCAGGTAAAACTTTTAAACATTAGTTTCTGCAATTTTTTTTTTGCTAATTTTCTTATTTTTCATTTTTTTTATGTTTAATTAACTTTTTGCTTTTTAGCTGCAGTTAATGAGAGATATTAGAGAAAGTATTAAAAAAAATGAGTTTACAAAATTTGTTCAAGATTTTATGAAAGAGCATTTTCATGATAGAGAATATCCAGAGTGGATAGTTGACTCTTTGAAGGCTGTTAATATTAATTTGTAACAACCAAAAGTAAAATGAAGATTTGTACTAGTAAGGTAGAGCATTCCTATTTCTTATGACCTGTAATTTATACAATTAGTATTTTTATAACCAATGACTTGCACGTGATATATTTATTAAGAATTGTACTTAAACTGTAATATATACAAATAAATGAAAGTAAACCATAACTTTTAATTGAAACTACATAAATTCATCGGAATCATTGCCGTCAGTTGTCATATTCTCAGGTCGCATTAGAGTACTGTAACTTCTTAATTCTTCTTCTTCTTTTTTACGTTTTTGTTCAAGCCTTTCTCTTTCTTTTTGTTCTCTTAGCAATTTTTTCTTGTCTTCTCTTTCTTCTCTATCTCTTTGTTCCCGTTCAGCACGAAAATCTTAAATTAAAATATATTTAACAGTTTTATTTAATAGATATGATCACTTTTGTTTATTGTGTTTGAATTGTTTGCACTCGTACATTTGTTTTTTTGTTAGTGTGCTGCGCTCTGACTATTATTTGATATACATTTCTGACTACTAGGATTTTTTTTTATCGCATCTCTCTTAAATGCGATGGTATTGCTTTCAAATATAGTTATTGTGATAGCAAAATAAAAAATTGAAAAAATCTAGTTAAAACCTAATTAAATATAATAATATAATTAAAACTAAACTAAGTCTTTTTTATAAAATATCAAGTATTAGCAAGCGCCTAAGCGGTGTCCACGAAAGAGAGAAGTACTGACTATCAAACTGAGTTTCAAAACTTTCGGAATAGGGTAAGAAACTGTTTGTTTGGAGCATAGCTCTGTACAGATCTAAGATATTGACTCTAAGAAAGGCCAACAGAAACTAGCTGGGTAGTTTTGATATGTGGTTCTGGGGAGGAATGGAAAAGATAAAATGAACAGACAAGAACAGAAGCCAAGAAGAGTGGGCAAGGAAATAACTCTATTGAGAACTATCATGAGAAGGAATGTAAAAAATGGGTTGCACCCATTCTGTATAGTAGAAGAATCGAAAGGAATAGGAAGAAAAGAAATGCAAGATAAAAAAATACAGAGAACTTAATACAGACCAAATCATTAAATCAGGAAGCATGGAAAAGGTCCAAGTTTTTCAGAAAAGGTTCATAAAAGTCTATAAAACGTGAATATTGGTAATGGTAATAATAAACAAGGGAGGAAAAGGAAATCTTTCATCGTGGCGGTACACATATATATATATATATATATATATATATATATATATATATATATATAAATAAATGTATGTATGGGTATTCAATAGTCGTGATTGTTGGTAAACCGTTAATAAAAATTCTATAAACTTTAATAATCATTTATTCCTCTCACGTGAATATCTCAAAATTTTAAATATGGTTTTGAACTAAACTTTCATGAACCGTGAAATTTTAATTCAAGTATATTTTGTTTTCCTGGATACTTGATATATACACAATTTTTAGGAAAACGAATATATTACATGTTAAGTTATAAGTTAATAAATTGTTTTTTGTTATGTGCAATATCCTCCACAAACTTCACCAGATCTGGTAAAATTTATCTCAAATATTTAGTGTTTATGAATAATTAAATTTATTATATTTAATTATATAAAAAAATAAACTAATAAACTCAAAAGTAAACAATTTCAAAAGAATGAATTCAGTATGCTGCCAGTACAGCGCATTCGGTCCAAAAGGATTATAATCAATAAGTCAGAATATTGTAGTAGCATTCAGAAAGGGCCTACATTCTTAACTTAACTTAAGATAATTAATTATGACAATACCTGGATGCCCTTCTCGTTTTGTTTTATCAAGCCTATTTACAACAGCATTATTACGCTTCGCTACTTTCATTTTTCTGACTTCTTTCTCTCTATGGAAGGCTACTTGTCCCACTTCCATGGCATCAGTCTTCTTCAAATTTGCCCATGGCGTATATACAATGTCAATATCATTCATTTTATTTCCCATGATGCTATTTGCTTTAACAAGCTGACAAGCATCTTCAAGTACAGATGTTGGTATATCATCTATTGTTTGTCCCTAGTTAAAATTCACATTTAAAATGCAAATGGTATAAATAATTGCATTCAAATTTCTAAAGTGCACTACTTACAGGTTTTAGTCTTAAATACACATGAGCTGAAGAAACTTTATCAACATGAAACCACACATCCTCAGGCCAACCCCATTTAATTAAGTCCTCATCTATAAAATATAGAACAATTAATATATAGAATAATTCAATAGATAACCTCAAGACTTACTTTCATATTTATCAAATCCCATGAAAAGTGTTACTGGTGGTTGAACAACATTAGACTCAAAATAGTATACCATATTAATTTTTTTTTAAAAATACTATAATTTTGAAAAGATTGATCGAATATTAAAAAATATTGTAAAATTTTGTATTTATGTGAATGAAGAGTGTGCACAAAGACGGTACTGTCAGAAGTTACACATGGTTTTTGACATTGACAGATGACAGATGACGTCGATAGTGCCGCCATTGCGGCCGCAATTTGTACTGCGCAACTAATCAAAAGAATCCTCCATCTGTGTTTCCAATTAGACAGACATATGTCAATTTCAAAATGTGTGCGAATGTGCATCACGAGATTTGGGCTGGAATGTATAAATTTAAATCATAATTTATTTGTGTCGGTGGTATTAGTTTAAACTATTACAAAAATCGAAATAATCAGTTGATCGTAGTTTAGCACTGTGAGCAAAAAGATTATGATATACGAAAAACACTTTATACTTGTTTCTTCTAAGTTAGAAGATACAGTGTGAAAATCCACAGCCCTGGCACCGAGGGAATTTGGGGCCGATCTAAGGCCCAATAATTATCATGAAACAGGTATATAGTAATCTTTTTAAATATTTAAAGGTTATAATTAGTTTCCTGATAACCTTGCATCATAATGTCCCTTCATTATAATAATATCATATGCATAATTCCATTTTTTTTCTGAAGTGTCTGAATGAAAAAATGAAATTTGTATTTGTAAACTGGATCTAATATTATTTTTATTATATTTTCCTTTTTACTATTTCCGATATAAAGTATAGACATTTCTTTCTGTTTCTGATTGAACTTGAAATGTGTGCTGTTTAATTTGGAAATGCCACAGTGATACGATAAAAAAATAAATAATTATAATGCGCCATCAATCATCACATAATTCATCATGCATTGCTGAGCACATACATGTAAGGCCAAGTGTGGGCACGGTGTTGTGACTCATGTTTTTGTAGGGAAACCCCTCATGAACACTGGCTACTATATATCCTTCATATAGGGTGGTGGGTGTTTCTAAACAACATTATATTAATATTGAACGTTGTTCTGGCCTTATGTTTGAATAAATTGCAATATAATTTCGTTATACGTAAAATAACGCTTATAATAAATGATATATTTTTAAAATAACATGCTTAACACTTTTTTAAAACGGTTACACATTATCCGAATTGGTATATTGAATATTTCAATCTTTCACTTTGAATTAGTCTATTATCTTAAGTTAATATTTAAAACTTCGTTGGAGACTAAAAATGTTCGTTTAAGGGGCACAACTAGTGTGAAATTTTCAAGTAACCGAATTTTCAATTTTTCCATATTTTGATAGGTTATACCTTTAAAAATAACATACCAAAATTTTAAATCGATATCTTAAATAGTTTTTGAGTTACAGCTATTTAAAGTGTATATATATAGTATATAGTATAACGATCATTTAATCTTTAAACGCGTTTTTCTCGAAACAGCATTTTCCGAATTTGCTGCAGCGATTACTCAAAAACAAATGATCCGATCACTATCAAATTTTTTTTGCATATTCTATATATAGTTCTCCGTAAAATGAACTATCGATTTTTTGATCGGATCAAAAATCGAATTATGGCAGTCCAAAAACGACCAAAATTTTGGGTAAAATTCGACTTTTTTTTAAAAAAACGCCATCATTTTGTCAATTTTTGATTTTTTTCTTTATCGTAGTTCATTTTACAGACAATATTATCTAGTTTAACGAAAAAAATTGGTTAATTTTTTTAAAATTACATCCACGTAGAAGGCCGGAATCACTGCAACAGTGAAGGGCTTTTTTTTGTCGCGCCGTTGGAGATCGACGATAACTTAAAAAATATTTAATTTTTTTCTTCAAAAATTTTACTATGTATTCTTAAAATATGTATAAATATATTTCTAAAATTTTGAAATGATTGATAAAGTAGTTTTTTTAATATAAATTCCCAAAAATCACCTTTTTTTATGCGGTTACACTAGTTGTGCCCCTTAATCCTGGAAGTTATAAATTTATCTTATGCAGATACATAAAATTAATAAAACTCGATAACGAAACCAGTACCTGAATTTATTGTATGAGTTATACATACTACGATAAATTGCTGTTCTATATAAGTCATGACGTTCTTTCTGGCAAAATGTTACTTACAATTACATTCTTAATTGTAATTAGTTAAATTTCTCTATTTAAAACAAATTCATTAAAACTTTGGCGCTCGGCGGTACACGAATCAATTTATTAACTAAGACGCTATATTTCTACGCTCGTACCTCGAAGCAATGTTTCCCATATGAATACATTGCAATGCCATTAATTCGTTTCACTAATCTGGCTTTTGTTAAGTATTTTTGAATAGTAAAAATAAATTTGCTATAATTATGTTTTTTTCTATCCATTCATGATATTGCGGAAATGTGTTAGACATGTTTCGTTGAACAACTTTATGTGGTACTGTTGCAACTTTTTTGGGGTGATTTTATTCACAAAATTTTAGAATTCAGTAAGCTGCTTATAAGTTATTGTAAGGCCCTTAGCTGGAGTTATGCCCTTTATCGAGCACTTCTGGTTAAACAAGTACATATCTATCATGTGTATCGAGTCCTCATATTTTTCAATAAATTAACGCTTTAAATCAAGGTTATATAAGTAAATATAATCTATAAATGTACAAAAGCGCGAACTCTACATATATAAAATTACAATAACTATTCATTAAAATTTCCAACGTTTAAATAATCCTCATATATTCACGTTGGTAAATCGTTACTACAGAATTAACTGACTATAAATTAATTTACTATCATAAAACTGCCAAATTATTTCTATAGTAGGAATAATTCCTTAATTCAACTATAAAACTTTTCATATTGTCATTAACATTTTGCTAGAAAACTCTTATTCGCTCAAAGCTCGTATCTCGAATTTTGCTCGTATGTGGAAGTAACAAATCGCTTTTTGCGGCTCGTTTCTCGAAACACTTTTATGTCAGGTCACTCATAAGCCAGGCTACGACTGTATTTTGAAAAATAGTTTTTTTTTCAAAATAACTATCTGAAGCGTGGAATGCCGGCTTAAAAATTTGTTTTGAAACATTACTCTCATTACATGCATATACGCCCCTTTTTGCCTTTTTTCGGCAATCTGATTTATTAAATCATTTATATCTGATTATTGAAGTTTCTAGAGGTTGCGCTTCTACAGATAATTTGGGAAGTTTTCATTAATTGTTGCTTATGCACGTTGGATAACCCATGTAGGGTTTCCAATACCGGGATTCCGAGATTCGGTCGAGTTTTGCCCGTTACTTATATAAAAACACCGGTATTTTGGTGTTATCGGTATTTTGTTAAAAATTGAGCTTACGCATTATGTTTTACATATACCAAGCCATATATACCACATCGACAAGCGGCGGTATCGGCAATATAAAGCGATTGTTTATATTTACATTTGATATCCAATGAATAACTCTCGTTTATAAAAATGATTGAGTCCACATGCATCGGTCATATCTAATTCGTTATCAATGGTTTTTAAACATAATATATAACCTGGTACAATTCTTGATATTAATTATACACCCTACCTAGGAGTCGATCATATTAATTATTATATTATTAATCAAAATCCATTTATAAAAGGCACGACAACGACTCTCTAACAAAAATATATAAAGCGTGTAACAAAAAAATTAAAAAATAGTTTAGATTGTTTAATTTTACAAATGGAATTTGCAGCCGTTGTATCTTGTGGTGTATGGATTATCTGCACTTGTTAACTTCCCGTAGGGCAAGTTATAGTAATCGCAAAAAAATCGAAAATGAAAATTTTTATATATCTATACGTTTCAATGGTTTCTGAATATTTTGGCACACCTTAGAAAAAATGGATGTATGTGTGTGTGTGTGTGCGTGCGTGTGTGTGTGCGGATACAAATTTTCGTCGACGATTTCGGGAACACCGATCAACCGGTTTGAATAATTTAAAAAACATTCAATTCGTATTGATAAGGAGACGTGCTGATTAGTTTTTGGCAGAGATCTAGCCGTCCCGAAGATACAGGGCAAAAAGTGACGAAGACGGTAACTCAGTTTTTAAAAGAACGGAGCGTCCGATTTTAAAATTCAAAGAATTGATCAAATTTTCATGAAGGCAGGTCTAGCGGTTTCGGAGATATAATAAAAAAATAATAATAATATGTCATTTGGCGGTCAAAAATGATCATTAGACATATGCACATCAAATTATCAGATATTTTATAGAGATTTTAACAATAAGTATAAATTTTATTTACTTCCGGAATTGAACTTTTTTTCAAAGCAATCGCACCGCGTCGCCGTCTAACGTGTTAACAAATGATGTTACGGAACCCATAGAAATGTAAACAAAATTGATACACATTTGTCAAAAACTAATCAGGACATCTCCTTATCAATATCAATCGAATGTTTTTTGAATTGTTCAAATCGGTTGATCCGTGTTCCCGAAATCGTCGACAAAAATTTGTATCCGTCACATACATCCATTTTTTCTAAGGTCTCAAGGCAAAATACCAATACCAACTAGTTTTTTTCTAAAATAAAAGTAGCGCAAAATAAGATGTACGAATCTACGTGATGGCTATAGCCTTTGTGATCTCTGTATACAGAGATCCAAAAGATGAAAAATGTGAATCTGCTTATAATGTCGAATCAAGTGTTTATGAACAGCCTAAATTGTTAATGACAATTCACATTAATAAAGCTATAACTAGTAATTTTTCTATTGCGGTATTCTATTTTTCAAATATCGAATACTCGTATTCAGATTGTAGTTCGATATTACGGTAATTAATTTTTCAAATATTGAATACCGGTATTCAGATTGTAGCTCGGTATTAAGGTAATTTTTTCAAATATCGAATACCGGTATTCAGATCTTATTTCGGTATTGGAGCCTTAACCCCATGCATGGCCCGCGGGGGAGTAATGACGTCCCTGATGACTATTCTTTTTATCAAGCAGTTAAAACTATACGTTCACACGTTCATATACATTAAAATTCTATATTAACTTCCACGATTAGTTTAAAGTAAAATGTTGCTTTACCTAAAACCTACGTTAATTAATCTCGTAACTAAATCGGTTGGAATAATTGAATTTCTTTTTTGCGGGACTTTGCACTTGGATTCGGAGAAATAAGAGTGACAGTACGTGCAACATGCATTTATTGGCTTCTCATGAGACGTGCATTCGAAAATAGCATTAGTTATTAGTGCAGAACAAAACCTCGGCATATGCATATCGGCTCTTACGCGTGCATAAATCTATTTAAATATCAATCATTACGATCACAATGTTTGTAAATTTCTCACACGTAACTGTACAAATAAATAAGTTGTTTGCCTGGGATAAAAATTAATTAGTTTTTAATAACTTGCAGTGAGAACAATTGTGTATAGATTTGAATTAAAGCATTAAACAGTAAAAATACACGTGTAATCACGTGTAATACATTAAACTATAATTGTAAGGTTTTATAATGTTTGCATTCTTTTTACGTGGCACTTTTAATCATTTTATTATCGATACGATGTCGTTCGTATGCAATTACAATATACTCGTATGTATTAGGTTAAATATAGTTTTTGGACAATATTTCTAAGGCTATTAGAAAAAAAATCAAAAATATCCACGAAATACATACGATTTTACAATACAATGTACAATTAGTATGCATGTTGATAGTCATATTAAATGTTTTTTTAAAAAATATCGTTATTTTATATGCAAAATAGATAATAAGCATTTGCCGCTATTAAGTAATTTGGGTTTTTGTCTTATTATTTCTTTATTCTCATAATATATATATTGAAATATATAATTATAGTGTAATCTTATATATTAGTATTAATAAAATTAATATATAATTATAGTGTATATTTTAAAATCATGAATGAATGATTTGCAATGTCGAAACTTTTATCATAGATAAAAAATAAAAAATACATAATAATCCTCGATTTCAACATCAGTGTACAAATATAACTAACGAATTTGAAAATAAAAAAATATGGTCTAATTATATGTTATATTTACAGGACCCCTGTATTTTAATAAAACCTCTTTTTTAATAAAACCATATAGGCAGAAACTTCAGTAAAACTATAGCTATCATGATCTATAAATGATTAAATAAACCAGTTCGCTAAAAAATAGTAAATATATTTAATTTAAAAAAGTGCATATATTTAAAAAAAGATTAAAAGTAGATTAAGTACGCTAATGATATATAGATGATATATTCGGCGTGAACCTTTGTGACAAAAAATGTTAAGAACAAATTGTTCTCATTCATAATAAAGCATATTTTCCAATTAGTTATTCATATAATGTATTAATTTACGCTGATGATGAAATGAACCACACAACAGTCTCGAAACGTTGTAACTTAGAAAAGAAAACTTTATGAAATAAAATTCGTGCGAAAATAGATTGTTGTGTGTTGTTATTTACACTTTTTTACATGAATGACTTTTTTACATTAATTTTTTGTGCCAATCATAAATTATAGCACAATTGTGCATAAAAAACCTTTAATGTTGAAGAAAAAATGAAAATATTTTAAGAATGTAAGAATGTACGAATAATTAATAATGAAATAACCAATATAAAACATTTGAGTGGCAATGTCTACATTGATAGTGATATTGTAAATGAAAAAATTGCTAGAAATCATAAATATAATTCTTGAATATGTCAAATGATCTGGATTATGTGATTGAAGGTATATTGAAAATACATTTTAATAAATAATAAATTATTTATAATAAAAGTGATTATATTACTCATAAAAATAAGATTCAGTCATTATGCTCCACGTTCAAAAAACACGTATTTTCTAGGTGTACCTGTTATCGGATTGCCATTGCCCCCCGAACCTGAATATGGCACAAGCCCTCCAACCACATCAGGTACCGGTGTCACCGTCTTTTCGCAGTCGGTGACAATGACTGCCACCAAATGGACACCAGACTACATGAGAGGTGGACCCGTCAATCCTGATACTATTATCTTAGTTCCAAACAAAGCGACAGTTTGGATATTACTCTTCGCAGCAATTATTGTTCTGTTGTTAAGTGTTGCTGCGCTGGCCTATTTTTGCTGGGTATTACCTAAAAGGTGATTTCTACTAAAATTTTTATGTAAAACATTTAGCTTCAAACATTATATAAAATACTTAATATCTTCAGATCTTTCGAAATTCATCTAAATCGTTTTTTTTTTTCAAAAATAGACCTGCGTTTTAATTAATAAATTAATTTTGGGAACTACTCTATTATTTCTTTTATCTTCGTAATATGAAATGTGTATAAATTTATACTTTAAAATTTAGTCAAAACAGATCAAAAATCCAGGTTAGGGACGATAGTTTCAAACCCATCTAAATTTTTCAACATTTGTTTCTGTAAAATTTTTAAATGTTATTAGTGAACACTAATCATGTCATTAGTGATCTTGATTTTGTATACTAACTGTGTGACCCTAGATCATTTACTCTTTAAGTAGATGATGTTTATTTTTGTACAATTAATTTAGGCATCAAAATATTTATTTGAATCTTTTAGACGTAAACATGAGGGCTTTCACTGGTCTCGCCCTACACCTAATTTAATGGATGATACTTCACAAGAACCTGATTTATCACAGAGGGGAAGTAAAAATAGCGAAGGACTCACAGGAACCGATAACCCACAATTTAGTCCTGATTTAACTAAACAGTTATTTGTAGATTATGCGGAGCCAATTACATTAATTGAACGTCCGATGTATGCTTCTAGTGGAGGTATTTATTAACTTGCATTTTCTAAACTTTTGAGTTGTATTGAACTATATATATATAATGGATTCTACATTAATGTTTGATCCACTATGATGAAGATTGATATTACTTCATTGTTCTTAATCTGATGATGGTTTACTTTTTAACACGCATTCTTATAGGTTAAATGCTTATATTTTACGAATAAATTTGCTCCAAGAGCTTTGGCTAATAAATTAATGCACAGAAAGCGTCGTAAAGAATAATTCCGGGTTTCAGTAACTTTTGATCTTTTGATTCAGAAGTCGAATGATACTCGTTTTATTCCGTTCACTTTGTTTCGCATCAGAAATCGAATGACTCGCGGTAAAATTTCTATGTAATTAAAAATTAATTAATAATAAAATGAGTTATATCATTTTACAGCTTTAAATGAAATTGGGAGTACTGAATATGCCGAAGTTGATATGGATCTCAGAACTAGATCTTTGCCAAGTTGGAGTCGAACAAAACAGAGGCCTCAATCTGCTATTGATGATATTGAAGAGTTATATGCAAAAGTAAATATATAAAAACATATTTCCAATTGTAATATAATGTCATATAAAATATGGTCTGAAAAAATGGCTAAATATTTCTTGGTATTATCATTTGTGATATAACTCGGAAAATGCATGATAGTACAGAAGTACAATTTATTCTTTTATATACAAGTTTTATATTACTCACTCCCTCATGTAATATTATAATATTTATTATTAAATATATTACAATAATGTTACAAAAGTGGGTGATGTAAGTTTACAAATAAACTTATAAAGAAATTTATTAAGGCTATGCACACAAGTGTGTATTCATTAAATATTTGTATTGTTATTCAAATTATATTTATATTTTGATAAGTATTCTAGAATAGTGAGATAATTTAGTTTCATTATGTTATAGGTAAATTTCAGTAAAAAGAAAAGAAATAGAATGTGTAATGATGAAGCAGCAGTAATAGCAATGAGCAAGTCCAGGTCACAATGCTTGCAAAGTGGAATTGTAAATTCCATACCTGGTCAAATCAATGATCAAGATGCTGTTGTAGTATATAATGAACGAACTGCTTTGTGATAAGGATAATTTAAAAATTGAATACATGCAGGCACATACACAGAAATGGATTTCTATCATTCAGTAGAAGAGCATTAACGAATTTATAATCTAATACTAAACATCAAACTTTTAAGGTAAGGGGGTATTCTAGTGTATAGGCATAAATTTTAGGTCATTTTTAAATCATTGTTAAAAAGAGGCAATCAACCTTTTTCACTATCATTTTTTCTATGATTTATTTATCATTGTTACAAGAGTACAGGAAAAAGTAAAAACAAAAAAAGGTACTAATTTTAAAAATTGTTAGTTGTTGAAGTGAAGGGTCTCAAAAAATTGACGTGTGATCATGCCTACGATTGCAGCCCCCCTAGTGGTCCGAAAAAAAAATTATTGATCTGCAAAATGATGTTGCAATGGAATATACTAGGGTTAGGTAAGAGAAAATATTTTTGACTATGTTATTTTTCATACCAATTTTTGAGTTTCACGAATTTTTTAAATAGTAAAAATTCAAATTTGAGGATGAGGCTAGTATATGTCAGATAAAAAAAGATTCTCTGAAAATTTCAAGTAAATTGGTTCAATAGAACTCTAAAAATTGTGGCCATTGTATTGAAAAGTAAAAAAAACGAAAAGGATTATCATGGTCAAACAGCTGTATCTCCGGAAATAATTAAATTTTTTTTTTTGTACACATATTTTTAAATATTGACCGAAAATATGAAACGAAAGAAAAATCAATTATTTTAATTTGTACACTAGAGAATACGCTCTTGAGCTTAAAACATGTTAAATTTTTATTAATGGAATGCTGGAAACTGAGGTCGTCTATATAATGATCTGTTGTAAGGATAAGTTGTCTGATTTTGCTTATTGTCACAGTTTGTTAATTAATATATTTATATACATATGGTATAATACAAAATCTAAATATAGACTGATGATGAGACAAACCATAGTCTTGAAATGGTTATCTGATAATATTAGCGCTAAACAGTGTATTTTGTTCAGGGTATATTTGTTGAAAAAAACCTTAGCACTTCGGGCTGTTTATGTATATGACAAGTCAGCAATTTCGCATCATCACCAACAGTTGTTGGCTCGTCATATTTCGTTCAGGAATGTAAAGGGTTGTCGGACTGGGTTTGACAAATGAGTTGCGGTCCACGTGTAATATGTCGAACACGTCCGACAATGGAGTTGCGGTGCACATCTTATATGCCAGACTGGGTCCGACAACAGAGTAGAAGTAGTTACTAGAATTCACCTTTATATATCCTTATAATTGCTACTAATATATATATTATATTGTATTTTTAAAAGTGCCATGAATGATCCCAGTGGACAATACAGACTTTTTGCAATGTTGTAAATTTGTGCGATTAAAATCTTTGAACAGCATTAGCTTTGTTAGTAAATTTGGAAATTGAGTACATTTTATGTCTAATGTGAAACAATTGTCACTTTATAGATGAATGCACTAGATTTTATAAGTTTGTTTTGAAAATATTCATTATTTTGCATCATTGGAAACGCGCTGTATTCAAAGATAAAATGTTCAAAATATGTATATATATTAAGATGCTTATGATAAAATTAGTATGATCATAGCACTATATAAATTGCATGACTTGTGGTGCAGTGTTTTTGAAATGTGATTGAATAGAAGAGCATTGAATGAGTCCTTAAGCTAGGAGATTGTTTGAAAAGTTGATCGTAATATTTTTTCTTTAATATGCATTAAACATTGTCAATCTAATTTCAGAAATTGTGAGTTTTACCTAGTTCTATCATGACTAACAAAATAAAAAATTAATCGATATTTAGAGCAACATAATTAAATTATTATATCTTTAATTTGTTATCGAAACTGTTATTAAATATTATGCTTGTTACTATTTACATATCTGATGATATGAATATATCAATATTATGTAATATATTATTTGAAGTTATACATCAAATGAATATTTAAAATTTTTAAAAATTTGTATTGAACCTTATTTTTTGGTTGTTAATTTAATTATAATTTGGTGAATATATAACATTATTCACTTTCTTTATATAAACTACAGACATGTGGTACTCTGTGTACTATCTGAAGTTTCTGAGAAATAAAATTTTATATACATATATAGATTATATATATATATATATATATATATATATATATATATATAGCATGCAGTAAATTCGTTCAATTAAAAAGTAATACTGAAATTGTACATTTTGGCACTTGAACGATTTCAATCACGCTTTTAGCACTAGTCATCCGATTATTTTATACAAAGAAAATAAATTAGTCATACAAGATTGGTTAAATCCTCTTTTATTTGCCTAAATTTTTCCTTGGTGTTAACAAACTTAATTCATCATATAATTTTTTTTTTTTTGCATTTCAATAAAAAATAAGTATTTTATATATTGTGATAGTTAACAAGAAGACAAAACCATACCAATTAAAAATAAATATTATGTAATTAAGATATTTTTAATAAACTTTATGAAAGGCATTTTTTAAAAATATTTTAATTTCAAGAAAATTAAAGAACATTGAATAAAAAACTCAAGAATATGTATACATATGTACGTACATATGCATATATATCTGTGACATATGTTTGTATGCTCACCAATAATTTTATGTACTTTTGTAATTTCTTAATTATTGTACAATTTATTACATATATATCTCTAGCTTTTGTAAAATATAATGTTTTGTACAATGTGATTGGATGTTAATTATTGTTAAAATTATTTCAGCTTACACATTATCATATTATGGGAGATCCATATGAATCATATTATTTGAATAATAATAGTAATTCTTGCAAATTGCATAGTGTTCAGAATTGATTTATTAACAATTTGTTCTTTTTATTAGAATTAATGTAAACATACAAATAGTCAATATAATAATTATATCTTTACAGATTGAGGGGGATATATGTCTATTATCAATTATATATATATATATATATATATATATATATATTCCTAATTTATAATAAACCCATCTCGGGCCTTGCGGCTTTAAAATGAAACATGGGAAAAACTCTCACACTACTTTTTCCTTGAATCGAGTTGGAGTTTGACTTATCTCACAGACCTGCCCTAGGTGGGTTGGCAGACAATGACCATAGGCAGTATTACCCATTATTATTATTATTATTATATATAATCCATTACTTTTTGAAGATAAACGTATGTTTTCGCCCGAAAATCCAATATGGTGATTTGTTAATCCGATTTCTTGAGATTACTATTTAAATCGTTGAATAACAAAATTGTAAAAAGTACTTGTGAGTACGTCCCTATCAGAAGTCAAGAAAGAAATAACAAATTCCAAATCAGGTAAATCACCAGGATACGATAAGATCTCGATGCAAATGCTGAAACACCTAGTTGGAAAAGAGCTAAGATTATCTTGATTCGAAAACCTGGCAAGGATCCATCCTATACAACATCATACAGACCAATAAGTCCCCACTAAGCCAAAATCCGTAATATTTATGTAATTTTTACGCAAAAAAGTTACATACATATGTCATTTTTACGTAAGATTGATGTAAGAAATGTGTAATAATTTTGCCTATTTTAAGTAATATGGATTACGAAAATATTTCATAATAATTACGTAATTTAAAAAAAAAATATACGTGGAGGGGCCCTTTTTTACACACATACATAAATACATACAGGCATATTCGTATATATGAACACACACACACACACATACACACATATGCGTATATGTTAACACATACATTTATGAACTTAGGAATGCGTATACACATAGTATGTACATACATATATAATTTATATGTATGTACACACACACACACACATATATATATATATATATATATATATATATTATATTTATATATATATACTAGCTGACCCGGCAAACGTTGTTTTGCTAAATAAGGTATATTCTAGACAATTTCTAGAGAATCAAAAATATTAATACTTTAAGTGTATAAGGATGTGTTGTTTGAATGCTATATACAATGAAGTATTATAAAAACAATAAACCCCATTGGTTCCGGATAATCCGAAGTCCGGATAATCCGAAGTCCGGATAATCCGAAGTCCGGACAATCCGAAGTCCGGATAATCCGAAGTCCGGATAATCCGAAGTCCGGATAATCCGAAGTCCGGATAATTCGAAGTCCGGATAATCCGAAGTCCGGATAATCCGAAGTCCGGATAATCCGAAGTCCGGATAATCCGAAGTCCGGATAATCCGAAGTCCGGATAATCCGAAGTCCGGATAATCCGAAGTCCGGATAAACCGAAGTCCGGATAAACCGAAGTCCGGATTAACCGAAGTCCGGATAAACCGAAGTCCGGATAATCCGAAGTCCGGATAATCCGAAGTCCGGATAATCCGAAGTCCGGATAATCCGAAGTCCGGATAATCCGAAGTCCGGATAAACCGAAGTCCGGATAAACCGAAGTCCGGATAAACCGAAGTCCGGATAAACCGAAGTCCGGATAAACCGAAGTCGGGATAAACCGAAGTCGGGATAAACCGAAGTCCGGATAATCCGAATCCGGATAATCCGAATTCCGGATAATCGGAATTCCGGATAATCGGAATTCCGGATAATCGGAATTCCGGATAATCGGAATTCCGGATAATCGGAATTCCGGATAATCGGAATTCCGGATAATCGGAATTCCGGATAATCGGAATTCCGGATAATCCGAATTCCGGATAATCCGAATTCCGGATAATCCGAATTCCGGATAATCCGAATTCCGGATAATCCGAATTCCGGATAATCCGAATTCCGGATAATCCGAATTCCGGATAATCCGAATTCCGGATAATCCGAATTCCGGATAATCGGAATTCCGGATAATCCGAATTCCGGATAATCCGAATTCCGGATAATCCGAATTCCGGATAATCCGAATTCCGGATAATCCGAATTCCGGATAATCCGAATTCCGGATAATCCTAATTCCGGATAATCCGAATTCCGGATAATCCGAATTCCGGATAATCCGAATTCCGGATAATCCGAATTCCGGATAATCCGAATTCCGGATAATCCGAATTCCGGATAATCCGAATTCCGGATAATCGGAATTCCGGATAATCGGAATTCCGGATAATCGGAATTCCGGATAATCGAATTCCGGATAATCGGAATTCCGGATAATCGAATTCCGGATAATCGGAATTCCGGATAATCGGAATTCCGGATAATCGGAATTCCGGATAATCCGAATTCCGGATAATCGAATTCCGGATAATCCGAATTCCGGATAATCGAATTCCGGATAATCGGAATTCCGGATAATCGGAATTCCGGATAATCCGAATTCCGGATAATCCGAATTCCGGATAATCGGAATTCCGGATAATCGAATTCCGGATAATCGGAATTCCGGATAATCCGAATTCCGGATAATCGGAATTCCGGATAATCGGAATTCCGGATAATCCGAATTCCGGATAATCCGAATTCCGGATAATCCGAATTCCGGATAATCGGAATTCCGGATAATCGGAATTCCGGATAATCGGAATTCCGGATAATCCGAATTCCGGATAATCCGAATTCCGGATAATCGAATTCCGGATAATCGGAATTCCGGATAATCGAATTCCGGATAATCGGAATTCCGGATAATCGAATTCCGGATAATCGGAATTCCGGATAATCGGAATTCCGGATAATCCGAATTCCGGATAATCCGAATTCCGGATAATCGGAATTCCGGATAATCCGAATTCCGGATAATCGAATTCCGGATAATCCGAATTCCGGATAATCGGAATTCCGGATAATCCGAATTCCGGATAATCGAATTCCGGATAATCCGAATTCCGGATAATCGGAATTCCGGATAATCCGAATTCCGGATAATCCGAATTCCGGATAATCCGAATTCCGGATAATCGGAATTCCGGATAATCCGAATTCCGGATAATCCGAATTCCGGATAATCCGAATTCCGGATAATCGAATTCCGGATAATCGAATTCCGGATAATCGAATTCCGGATAATCGAATTCCGGATAATCGAATTCCGGATAATCCGAATTCCGGATAATCCGAATTCCGGATAATCGGAATTCCGGATAATCCGAATTCCGGATAATCGAATTCCGGATAATCGGAATTCCGGATAATCGGAATTCCGGATAATCGGAATTCCGGATAATCGGAATTCCGGATAATCGAATTCCGGATAATCGAATTCCGGATAATCGGAATTCCGGATAATCCGAATTCCGGATAATCGGAATTCCGGATAATCGGAATTCCGGATAATCCGAATTCCGGATAATCCGAATTCCGGATAATCGGAATTCCGGATAATCGGAATTCCGGATAATCCGAATTCCGGATAATCCGAATTCCGGATAATCCGAATTCCGGATAATCCGAATTCCGGATAATCGGAATTCCGGATAATCGGAATTCCGGATAATCCGAATTCCGGATAATCCGAATTCCGGATAATCCGAATTCCGGATAATCCGAATTCCGGATAATCGAATTCCGGATAATCGGAATTCCGGATAATCGGAATTCCGGATAATCCGAATTCCGGATAATCGAATTCCGGATAATCCGAATTCCGGATAATCGAATTCCGGATAATCGGAATTCCGGATAATCGGAATTCCGGATAATCGAATTCCGGATAATCCGAATTCCGGATAATCCGAATTCCGGATAATCCGAATTCCGGATAATCGGAATTCCGGATAATCGGAATTCCGGATAATCGAATTCCGGATAATCGGAATTCCGGATAATCGAATTCCGGATAATCCGAATTCCGGATAATCCGAATTCCGGATAATCCGAATTCCGGATAATCGGAATTCCGGATAATC